GGAGGAGGAGGAGGAGGAGGGGAGGAGGAGGAGGAGGAAGAGGAGGAGGCAGCAGCAGGAGGAGGGGGAGAGGAAGAAGGAGGAGGAGGAGGTGGAGGAGGAGGAGGAGAAGGAGGAGGAGGAGGTAGAGGAGGAGGAGGAGGGGGAGGAGGAGGAGGAGGTGAAGGTGGAGTGGAACGGGGAGGAGAGGGAGGAGGTGGAGGAGGCGGTTGAGGTGGAGGTGGAGGAGGAGGAAGAGTAGGAGGAGGAGGAAAAGGAGGATGAGGAGAACATGGCGGGGGTAGAGGAAGGTTGGAGGAGGAGGAGGAGGAGGAGGAGGCGGAGGAGGGGGAGGAGGAGGAGGAGGAGGAGGAGGAGGAGGAGGACGAGGAGGAGGGGGAAGCAGCAGCGGAGTGGAGGAGAGGGAAGGAGGAGGAGGAGGAGAGGAGGAGGAGGAGGAGGAGGAGGAGGGAGGAGGTGGAGCAGCAGCAGGAGGGGGAGGGCGGGGAGGAGAGGAGGAGGAGGAGAGGAGAGGAGGAGGTGGAGGAGGAGGAGGAGGAGGAGGAGGAGGAGGAGGAGGAGAAGGGGAGGAGGAGGGCGAGGATGAGGGGGAGGAGGAGGAGGAGGAGGAAGAGGAGAAGGAGGAGGAGGAGGAGGAGGAGATGGTGGAGGTGGAGGAGGTGGTGGTGGAGGGGGGCCAGCGTCCTACAGAGGTCCGCTCGTCCTCATCGGCCCCAACACGGCCATCGCTCGGGAACCCCCGCGGTGGCGCTCTCGCGGGAGATATCCGTGGCCGCACGGGCGGCCTGGGCTGCTTCGAGGATCAAAGCTCGAGGATCGAGGCTCGACGGTCGAGGTTCGAGAATCGAGGCTCGAGGGATCGAGGGATCGAGGGATGGAGGATCGAGGCACGAGGATCGAGGATCGAGAGATCGAGAATCGAAGGCCGAGGTTCGTGGTTCGAGGTTCGAGACTCGAGGTTCGAAGGCCTGAGGGTCAGGGGGCGCTCCAGGGGCGCCACGGCGCCGCCGCGGGCGGAGGTGGCGGTGGAGGTGGAACCGCAGAAGCAGAACACGAGCCGCGCCCAACAGGGAGATGATGAGGCGGGAGATGGAGGGACCAACCCAGCGGAAGATGCAATGCTGTGCAGCCGCGTGCAGCGTCAGGGGCGGCCCTCTCATCATGTCGTGCGGGCAGCTGGAGGGAGCGAGGGAGGAGAAGCGTCGAACTGCCAACCTGACAGGCGAGACGACGTCCCTTTCCTCATCCGGGGCAACGCACGGAGAAGGACGTGGCATGGATGAAGTGTGCTAGGTGGATGAGGCATCTTCGCTCGATGAGGACGCAAGTGATCTTGGTTTTAGGCAGGAATTCCGAAATTAACGCCGAGAAGGTTGCCAACAGGTTGGTGGAGTTTACGTCTCTCGTGGATGCGATGGGCAAGGCTCACCGTCCATGGAGTTTCGTACCTTCGGAAGCGCGCAGTATCCTCGAGCACGGCTATATGATGTTTGCGATGCCAGGCTTCGATGAGCAAGTCGACAAAGTCTTCGAGCAGGCACGGGCGCAGGATCTCAAGATGCAGAAGAGAGCGAGAGATGGCTGGAAGCAGTGGTTGCAGAAGGCGATCAGTGGCGGCGCGAATGCAGCCTGTCGGTTGTCTAGGGCTGGTGAAGTTCAAGAGCCTCAACCTTTTGAGCGTGTAGAAACTTGTCTTCAAGGCTGGCTAAACACATGGCGTGAACCTGGATATGGTGTCCTTCAACGTCCTGCAGATGTCGGAGAATGGGATGCGTTGCCTCCGCATTCAGCTGAAGATATATGGAACGCCGCTGGCAAGTCCCCGGAGAAGGCGAGGTTAGGCCCTTTTCGTGTTCACCCTCGTGAGTTGCAGAGGCTGTCGTGGATCGTCCTTCAGTGCGTGGCGGAGGCTTTCAACAAGTGCGAGCAGCTGGGGGTTTGGCCTACACATCGCTTGGTCTCAGAACTGGGGCGTCTGGGCAAACCTGATGATGGGCGTCGGCGCGCCGCTCTTCTTCACACGATGTCAAGATGGCGGGGCGGATCCAGGCGTGAAGTGTCAGCGCAGGGGGAGCAGCAGCACAAGGACGATGTGTGTCTGGGGCAGTGGCAGTGGCAGAACTTCGTCCGACAGCGCGCTTGAGCTTAACATTGCGGCGGGGATTGCCACGATGACGGACCAGCACGCGATCTCGGTGCACATGGATATGGCGAAGTGCTATGAGACGATTCGACATGGGGCCATTCTCCGCGAAGCACGAGCCGTGGGCTGCCCTCTTCGGCTAGTTTAGTGACTCATTGCGCAGTACTCGCAGTCGAGGTACATTATAGCGTTTGGGAGCCTTTCTAGTACCGTGCAGGTCTACCACAGCATCCAGGCTGGCTGTAGCCACGCGACGACTCTGCTCAATGTCCTCTTATTCCGCAGCCTGAAGGACAAGAGGGGAATGCGCAGATCCATCGCGCCGCGTGGGTTGATGGACGGCACGTCCTTTCAGTGGGTTGGCAACGACTTGTATCGTGCAAGGGACCTTTGGAATGCGACGGCCTATCTGTGCAAGCGGACCAAGGAGCTGGGAATGCTCGCGCAGGCCAAGAAGTCGCACTTCGTGGCCACGTCTACGGAGGCGCAGCGGGCTCTGGAGACGCACTTTCTCAAGTTGCGCATGGAACCGAAACCTCATGCTCGCAATCCAGGCCGCGAGTTCATTGGTCGCAGGGCACGGCGCACGGCCGAGAAGGGAAGTCTTCATAAGGCGGCGGAGCGTGAACCAAAGTTGCGGGCTTTGCGGCGAGACATTTGAGTCAAGGCTACATTATTGTGTGGAGAGCTGGAGTGTTTGCGTCGGCAGAGCATGGCGGCAGTGTCTTAGGGATCCCTGATGCGGCGACGGTGAAGCTGCGCCGTTTGGCAGGAGCTGCTGCAGGCAACCCCCAGAAAGGCAGGTCGCTCTCGTGCTACCTGGCGACGCAGAAGCAGGAGTCCATGGATCCGATGTTCGATGGCACGGCCGACCTGGCTGAGAGGCATGCGGCCTGGCAGTGAGGAAGGCGGCTGTCTGGGGCGACGTTGTGGAGAGCATGGGCAGCAGTACGTGAGAGGCTTCAACACAATCCGCGTTGGGCGCTGCGCACTGGGCCCTTGGCTGCTTTGACCCTCACCCTCAGCAACATTGACTGGGAGTTCGCGAGCCCCACGCACTACAAGACACGCGAGGACAAGCTGATCTCGTTGGTGACGACTCCCCCCAAGGATGTGCGGGCCTTGGTCCTGGAAGGAGTTCGACAATGGCAGCCCAGTCGCATGGTTGATCACGCTCCTGAAGCGACGGGATCCGAATAACTTCGGCACAGAGCGATGCGCAGAGGAATCTTGGCGTTGGAGGCCAGACAACAAGGAGCTGTCCGCGCAGTGTGGTCGGGGGCTCCTTTGGCGCCAATGACTCGATATCAGCGTGGGACCCAGGACGCGGCGGACTGCCCTTGGCGTGGGGCGAAGGAGGCGGGCCTGGGCCACCTGCGTTATGAGCGTGACAAGTTGGTGCAGAACGAGGACGAGGACATGTCCGATGTGGCGAAGTTGCAAAGGCGACGGCTTTCGAAAGCAGCCAGGGAGGTTGGTTTAGGCCAGGTGTTCTACGACTTCTTCGAGTACGTGACGTTGCTCCCGCAGATGCCGCAGTTGCCTCATCCTTTGGAAGATCCGCCCACCCTCTACTGGGGCCTGGACGGAGGTCAACGACGCGATCAAGACCGAGAGCGGCAAGGATGGGGGCCCGAGCGGCATGGGCCTCCCGCCCGGTGGCCTGGACGCGCAGAGGGCTGCGACGATGCAGGACTACCGGGACATGCGCGGCGGTCTTCGGGATTGGGCGGCGACATGGTTCGATGACACCAACTGCATGCCAGAGTCCAACGCGAACTGGATGGAATGGCGCCAGCCTTTCCTCGAGGCAATGTTCCAAGGCGGCGGGAACAATCCCCTGCAGCGCCTGCTTCATCGTTGGTTCCCTGGGGCGACGTTGCAGCAGATCATCGAGAATGTGTGCTCAAGCGCGCGGAGACAGACTGCGGCTTCGAGGAGTGACCTCATCATGGGTCTGGCCAGGTTGCCAAGACAGGAAAGATATGATCGGGAAGCCAGGCGTTGGAGGGAGTTGACCGACGTGAGGGCCGTGCAGAACGATCTTAAGGGGGCAGAGCGCCTCGCCTGCGACCTCCTCGAAGGCCCGACTCTTATGGCGATCGAGCGACGGATGGCATGGAAATATTTCCGGCTACGCCGAGCACTGCGATTGCGGCGCCCCAGCACATGGCGCAGGCTCCGCTAGGCGGTTGCACGCCAAGCGAAGGCGGGGCGGAGTCGAGGCGGACTCGCGACCCCCTGCGCCCAGTGGGAGTCTGGTACGTCGTCGACCGCGGCCTCGGCGCCCCAGAAGATGGAACAGGCTCCGCAAGGCGGTCTCTCGCCAAGCGGAGGCGGGGTGGAGTCGAGGTGGATTCGCGACCCCCCACGACCCCCGAGCACAGCGTGGGCAGGAGCTGAACCTCGGCACGGCGACCTTCAGCATCGTGGGGCTCGATATCATCGCGCGCGAAGCTGGGCGTCGAGGTTCGCTCCGTCGAGGGCTACGGGCCGGGATCATCTAATGTATACAGACGGCGCGGCCACCCACTCCAACTTCCCAGTGCAGAAGAAGCGGCTGGTCGGTGGTGGAGCTCGACAGTCAGGGATGGCCGTGCAGAGCGAGATATGGAGGAGCTCCTGGTCCGAACCAGCCAGCCCCTTCTGCGGAAAGGCATGCGGCGGCGCAGGCGGTGCCTGCGACGGTGGCGGCGGTGCCTGCGACGGCGGTGACTGGCCACCTCTCGCTTGTCAAGGGGTCGAAGCGTGACTGGGGGATCAATGCGGGGGCGAGAGCCAAGCATGCGGGGCTGTGGCGGAAGACGAGCGGGCCCCCTCCTTCTTTTGGCAGGGCTCTCATCTTTCGTGCGGCCAGGCGGTAGGGAAGGGCTGCAACCTGTTCGACTGGATAGACAACCAGTGGGCTGACTTCTTCGCGGGCCTGGGTCGAGATGAGGTCGCTCTCTCCGACACCTTCGCTCGCGACTGCAAGTTCAAGTTTGCGAGTGCTGTGGATGTGATCGCGATGCTCGGACAGTTGGCGCAGAGGCATGTCGAATGGGCCCAGAAGCTGGTGAAGAGCGAGGTGCCGAAGGTCGCGACGGCAAAGGTTCCCGTAGCGGCTATCGAGTATCATGACGTCTGGCACGACCCCGCTCCAGGAGCCTCGAGATGCTGGCAATGCAGGAAGTGCAACGCGATGGCGCGGACGGACCATGCACTGCGCAATCTTCGCACCAAGGAGAGGTTCAAATGTTGTGTGCCGACGGCGGTGATGAGCTGGACGGCGGACTGTTTCTTCCGAGACAATCCACAATACGTGCCTGTGAACGAGCCTCCCAACGAGGAGGAGCTGGCGGCCAAGCCATCCGAGCCAGGCGCCCTCAGGCACTTCCGTGGGCCAGGGCATGCGCCGTGCGTGTTCGGGCCCATCACGATCTGCAAGCGGTGTGCTCGGTATTGTATCAGTGGTGGCAGAGTCCTGGGCCTCAACGCGCAGTGCCATGGCCCATCTGATGTGCCAAGTGCCAGGGCTGGTCAGAAGGCGGCGATCAAGCGGGCCTTGGGCCAGAAGCATCCTCGCACTGGAGAGTGTTTGGGTGCGCGGGCCTCGAGTTCGGCAACTACCCACCCCAGCGCGGCGAGGAGTTAGGCCGCAGTACCACTCCTTCGGAATGCCCTACGGGGCCTCAGGGACTGGCCAGTCGATCCATGGACGACTGTGCTTGCCTTCCGCTGGAGGAGGTCACTACTGCTTTGGGCTACTTTATGTTGGGTGCTGGTGGGTACTTTCTTATGCTGCACCAGTGGCCATACCAGCTGCATTGGCCAAAATGACCCGAGGGGAGCGACCCGTGAGGGTGTTATAGCCAATCGTTGGTGACGGCTGCGCTTGCCTCTCCGAGGGTCAGGACGCACGAGAGCGACCCGTGAGGGTGTTCTGGCCACCTGTCTGTGATAGGTGCGCTTGCCTATTGTGCGTCCAGTCCTCTGCGGAAGCGACCCGTGAGGATGTTCTGGCCACCTGTTGGTGACAGGTGCGCTTGCCTTCCGCGGGGGACTGGGCCGCGGACTTCGGTTGCCTTCGGAAGTTGCTCGTGGGCATCTGCATGTGTGGGTTTCCCCTGGTGGTTGCTGCTGTGACTGGTGCACAAGTGGCGGGATTGCGGCTATCGGCCTACAATTGATTTGGGCGACAGTGTCAGTACGTGGTCGTCGTCGCCTTCGAACTCGTCGAGTTCGTGGGCATGGTCGGGGCCCAGGCACGGTGTGTCCTGGGCCCCGCGCGCGCGGGCCCGCCCGTGCTCCTGCCGCCCGGAGGCCTGTGAGGCTAATCGAACGGCGCCCATGCGCGGCCGTGGGTGGGTAGTCGGCGGCGCCTGCATCGGCTGCAGACCCGCGTTCCCGCGGAGCGCTATCCTCCTCCTCCTCCTCCTCCTCCTCCTCCTCCTCCTTCCTCCTCTCCTCCTCCTCCTCCTCCTCCTCCTCCTCCTCCTCCTCCTCCTCCTCCTCCTCCTCCTCTCCTCCTCCTCCTCCTCCTCCCCTCCCCCCTCCCCCGCCTCCGCCTCCGCCTCCGCCTCCGCCTCCGCCTCCGCCTCCGCCTCCGCCGCCTCCTCCTCCTCGTCCTCCTCCTCCTCCTCCTCCTCCTCCTCCTCCTCCTCCTCCTACTCCCCCGCCTCCTGCTCATCCTGCACCGTGGGTCTCTAGTCACCAGCAGGAGGACTCAGGGGCCCTCGTCGCACGCTGCTGGATTCGCTCGATTTCGGTCGCCGTCGCGCCGGAGAGGAGCGACGGGAAAAGCTGAAACAGCTGAACGCCAACAGGGACGATAAACAAATATAGAAGGGGCGCGAAGAGGAGAAGGAGAGCCAAGAGGAGTACCAGCAGCGCAAATCACACTCGACGCAACGATACCCATATGTGGTAGCGCTTGCCTTGGCGAGTGTCCGAGTATGAGCGCATTCGGGCGAGCAAGATTGGGCGTGAGCGGTTGAGTACGAGCGAATCTGTACGTGAGCTAGCCTTAGTATGCGTGACGTGGTATGAGTCGGTCTGTGAGCGGATCCAGCTATGCGCATGTGATATGAGCGGGTCTGAACATGAGTGGGTTCCAACGCGGGTGACTCTGAGCATCAATGGGTATGAGTTTCCGTGACTCTGGATTTGGGTAAATCAGCATGCGTGATTGGATACCAAGTGGGATACATGTTTTGAGGCCTGAGTCTTTGCGCGACGTTGCTGTCTCTGCGGTATGAACGACTGGCTGTGAAAGAGACTACGCCTGAGCATGAGTGGATCTGAGCACGAGCGGGTCTGAGTTCGAATGTGCTCGACTGTGCGCGTGAGCACTACTTCTGCTGGGGCTCCCGACCATTGCGGGAGTTCGAGGGGGACCGTCCCTGTCGGAATTTCGACATGGTGTTCCCACTGCAGCGGTGGCCACGTTCGGTGTGGCGCTCGCGCTCGCCCGTCGTTGTCGTCTCTCATCCTTCCACTTCCCCCCCTCCCTGCTCCTCCTCGGTGCTCTCCTCTGTCTCTTCGTCCTCCCCCTCCGATGCACCAGAGCATACGGTCAGATGTGCAGCAAGCGATGGGTGGCATCGTGGCGTGGCACCCCAGCACTGCCGCTATGGGGTCAAAGTGCTTTAGTAAGTCCCGCTCGGCGGAGAGGCAGTGAGGAGGGATGGGTGGGAGGGGTCGGATGCCAGATGTTGCGTCAACGAATCAGGGCTTGCCCCTGCGCAGTTACACGTTATGAATGCTACTCTCTTCGCTTCCCTGATTTTGTTCGAAGATGTTCGGTCCTCTCCGCGTACTGTGTTTGTTACACACTGGCGTGCGTTTACAGTCCTATCAGTCTTCGGTGTTTCGAATTGATGCTCGCGCTGCAGCGTTGGCCTCATTTTCGGATCGGCGCGGTGCTCCCCTGTCGTTCAGAACAACGATCTCGCCCCCGCGCGGGCCATGTTTCTGGATCCGAGTCCTTGTTCATTGTTGTCGCCCCCTCATTTCCCTTCCTCCGCCTTCCACTGGTCTTCCTGCTCCTCCCACTTCTTTCACTCCAGTTCCTGCTGGTGCTGTTCGTTCTCGTCCTCCTGCTCACCCGCCATCTCCGCCTCATCCTCTTCCTCCTCCTCCCCCTCCTCCTCCTCCACTCATTTCCCTTATAAGCGACTGCTCCCTGTCGCACCCCGAGGCTAGATGTTGGGGCGGGTTTGGCGTTTCGCCTGAGACGTCCTCACCACTTATGGCTCTGAAACTTAAGAAATTCGCAACCATTTCGCACATGGAGGGCGGCTCGTTTTCAAAATGCGGCTCTCGCCTTTGCGCGGCGCACATTCGCTTTCAAAAATTGCAAGGGCTTCACGGATTGAGGGCGGGTCATTTTCAAACTGTGGCTCTCGCCTTAGCGCGGCGCACCGTTTTAAGAAATTGCATGGTTTCACGAATTGAGGGCGGGTCGTTTTCAAAATGTGGTTCTCGCCGTAGCGCGGCGTACATTCGGTTTAAACATGTGCAAGAGCTTCACGGATTGACGGCGAGTGGATTTCAAACTGTGATTCTCGCCTTAGCGCGGCGCACATTCGTTTAAGCAAACTGCAAGAGTTTGACGGATTGAGGGCGGCCCCTTTTCAAAATGTGGCTCTCGCCTTAGCGCCGCGCACATTCGTTTACAACATTCTCAAGAGCTTCACAGATTATGGCGTTTTGGAAGGATTCCCGATTATGCGGGTGCAACACTTACGTTGGTTTTCTGTGCTGAATCCTGGGGATGGCGTTCTGGCGCGGTTCTGGATCGTCAAGACGCAACAGTCAGGTTGATCCGGGTGTTGGAATCCCAGGAACACTGTTTTGGCATGCTTCAAGGTCTTCCAACGGGTATCTTCCAACGGCCTATGAAAAAATGGAGCTTGGAGGGAGGGTGTACCCCAACATCGTTGATGACCCTTGGGTTTACACTGGTCCTCCTCCTCCTCCTCCTCCGCCTCCGCCTCCTCCTCCTCATCCTCCTCATCCTCCTCCTCCTTCTCCTCCTCCTCCTCCTCCGCCTCGCCCTCCTCCTCATCATCCTCCTCATCCTCCTCTTCCTCGGGCCACCAGGACTGAAGTGGGATGCGGCGTGTGCGTGTGTGGGGCCAGGGGCAGGGCCCCCCGATGTTGTTACATATATAGGCGCGTGCACACTCACATATACATATATATATGTATGTATATATATATGTATATATACGTGTATATATATATATATATATATATATATATATGCACGCACAAGACTGCAGTGGCGTTTCGCGTCACGCACCTTGGTCCTTCACTTCCAACATGTAGGCACAATGAGAGAGAGGTAGATCAATCAAAACCGCAATCGCTCTATATTCGCCATCACCTTTACCATTTTGTTGTTCCTTCTCCTCCCCTCATGTGTCCTCTTCCGCTTTCTCTTCCTCTTCACAGTTCTCGCCGAATCGCCCCGCGAACCCTTCACCGTCCTCCTCAGATTTGTTTGCAGAGGCTCCTCGGAGGCGAGCTTCTGGAGGACCTCGCGAAAGCCTTCTAGGGGCTCCTTGGGCACCTCTGGAGACGTCCCCGACGCCTTTTGGAGGCCTCTGGGAGGTTCCTCGGGCCACCATACCGCGAACCCTGGTCTCGGGTCACGGTTTGAACGCTTCCGAAAAGCGTCTTGGGGCAATTTTGGGCCGGCATGGGGCCCTCTGTGGGCAATTTCTGAGCCCTCTTGGGCCGTCTTGGGGCTCTCTTTGAATATCAGGAAGCATTTCTTGGTCGTCTTAGACCGGTTTTCGGTGCCTCTCGGGCGTTCTCGGACGCCTGGAAGACCGAACATCCGAGCAGCCCAACATCATACAATAGCCAGCGGGAAATCAAGCTTGACTGCGTCTCGAGACCCTCCTGGGGGTGACAATTGGGCAACCTTCGGCCGTCTGGCGAGGGTCTGGGGCCGCTGGAGGCCGTCTTGGACCGTCTTGGATCGCCGCCGACCCATTTGCACTGCTTGCCAAAGACTTCCAGAGGCCCGGAAATCTCGCGCGACTTCAAGGAAGCCCAGACGCCGGGGATATCGTTTCGGGGGGGAGGGGACGTCTTTTATCCGCAGGGTCCCAGCGAACGAACGAAGGAGCCACCACTGCGAACAGCCTTCCAGGCCTGCCTAGGACCTGATGGGAGAGGCCGTTGCCTCTTGACACGTGTACTGTTGGAAAACAGCCGGCCGTGCTTGTGAACAACGAGGCAACCATACATATGAGCAACGAACGAGGCAATCAAACGTTGTGACAGAGGAGGGAAGGAGGGGGAGCAGGTCCTGGATGTGGCTGTCGGCGTACTGTCGTTACGTAAGGTGTTCGAACTCCGTTCGAGTATCAACCAGGTGGAGATGTCTTGAGCCGTGCTAACCCAGACAAGGTCGTCTGGTTGGCCTTTGGTGGCGGTCGGTCTGGGCGTTGGATGTAGGTCGGGTCTGCTTTGCTGAAGAAGATTGACGGCATCCTGTTCGCCCGCAGGGACCCAGATTGTTTGAACAAACAAGAGAAGGGAATATGG